TATTTGATCAAATTGTCATAAAAATTGACATGCATATGTAAGTCATCATACATTATCTTTATGTTAAAGTTTGAACGAGCTTGTCACAGCAGTCTGAGAAATGGCTCCAGACCTCATATTAATAGTTCCAGGACCATGTCCGAATCAGGGACTATAAACATTAACTGGCAACTTAATTGATAAACAGCACAATACAAAGGCTCATTGTTTCAGTTTTAGCAAAGTTACACAAAACTGCAAAAGCCAAGTTTTGTGGACTTTGAATAATTGTTGAAACATAACCCTGAGAATCTCATCAAATCTCATTTCACAAAACAATCGGGCACAAGTTAGAAGATTGACAAAGACGTCATTTCTTGAAAGTACATTCATAATATCTTTATTTACATTCCAGTCAGATCTTTATATAGAAATGTAACAAAATTGTACAAATATAATTAATGTTAACATATTTATTATTTTTACAAAACATAACACCCCTTTCCCTCAATATTTAGATCAGGTTTCTGATTGGTTGACTGTGATGCAAAAGATTTTGTGATTGGCCAAGTACTTCAATGGGAGACGAACCATTTACAAAGACAGGGGAGAGTAGGTGCCTTCACAGTTTTAGATGCATGAAAAATTGTATAAATGACGAAATAAAGTTACTTTGCGAGTACAAAATTGGCAGTATATAAAAGTAAAAGATGTGAAATAAATACATTTAAACTGACTACCAAGCAGTTGTGGTCATATTTTAAAACAGAATATGCAAAAAAAGAACGGGAGATTTTTGAAACTTGGGGGTAGAAAAAATGAATGGCTGTTGATTTGAAAACCAGAAGGTTGAAACTGCTTATTTTTTTGGAATGTACAATATCCTATAGTTTATTTCAGTAATATGCATGTACATGATTGCTAATTAACGACAGTGAAACCAGTTTAAACGAACAAAGTTACAGTGAAAAACCTGGCTAAACTGAGCATCAAAAAGGCTGAGGCAAATGTCTGGTTAGGAGAGGTAGCTGGTGAATCAAGTGATATTTTTATACAAACAAGTTTACAGAGAATCGACTGGGAAGGTATTTGGCTCAGCTACATATTTAGTACACATGGCAACATTGACCATACTTGCAATAGAGTAACGCATAGTAGTTTTCAGTACATGTGCCCCCCCCCCCATTCCCTAAGATAGAAATACAGAAGTAGCTGCTAATGGATTGGGGATTCAAATTAATGAGTCACTGAACAAACTAAGTGAACCAGGAGTAGAAGCATGAAGCATCAAAGACGGGTAAAAGTGTTCCTGTGTATATGAAACCTGTCTTATATAGCAACAACTGCATTAATGGCTAGTTCAGAGGCTTGGTATGGAGCAAGCGAACACCGGGATCAAAATAATATTTTTTGTGAGAGTGTTCCCATAGTTTAACATGGTTGTAGCAATCCGGAATGTCACAATAGTTTTGAAGACATTGGCATAGTTGAAATCAATGCTTGATAACAACAATTGGTATTTGATCATAATATGAAGCATGAACTAATTTGACATGACAGGATGCATCAAGGTACATGAATACAGGGTTTCAATGTTTTCCAGTTTTCTGACATCAGTCAGCATAGATTTCCCTGTATGGTCTTATAACATAGTTGTGCAGTGTCAATTCCACAACACAAGCAGTGTTTGGAGTATATGTCCTGGTGTCGTGACGAATATTGCAGCGTTTCAATAACATGGTGCGGTTCTGTGTGTAACACAAGTTTCATTTTTATCCAGCATCAGAACAAAATTCAGATGTGATGTTTATTTACCATAGAAATGCTATCATTCCAACATTTGGCAGTGTTATACGATACAAACTTTGGACGTCATTCCATCCCACCATGCATAAATCCGATCAGTACTATATAAATAACCAACAGTCCTGGCGGAAATTTCTGATGCTACCGAAGAGTCAAATTCCGAACTACGTAAACTGCTTCCCCGTCGGTACCGCATAAAAGGTTATTACTTTCAATGTCTATAGTGTTGACAGGCATTTTGTTATGTGGTAGTAAAGTTGTCACTTCCAGATTTCTATGTTTTGAAGCATCATTGCTCAGCCACGGACTGCTTGTACCAGGAATAGGGTGACTATTTGACGACAATGCAGCAAAGCCAAAACCTCTAGATGTTGACGGACCCTGACCACCTCCAATACCTGCACCTAGAGGAGTGAAACAACAAACAATAGTTAATCTTAAACCTGCACTATACTGATAAAATAACAGAATCTTTTAGATTTCAATGAAATAACACATATTTATCCCCAAACATTCAGTGCTTACACTCACTAAAAACGGCATTGCTGACATCAAAAACGTAATCTGTTTTAAGTTTCATTCATTAAGGATAAGCTTATTGACAGATTACTAAATGCAATGAATGTTTTAATTTAAGTTGGGTGGATGAATGATTTTAGTTCTTGTACAGACACATTGCACAAGAATCACAATTACTGTAAAAAACTTTCGCTGAAAAGGCTTTTATTCTTGTCCGAAACCCACAACTCAGGGGTGGTTAGTTATTGGGATGCGATAAATAAACTGATTCTAATTGTTATATGGAGGTTCATAAAATAATGATTGAAGTACCATTCTCTGTACCTGATCCTGCCATGGAAGTTGATAATTGTGTTGCCATAGAAACTTGTGATGAGGTATTATCCCAATGCCATACAGAACCATCTTCTGAACATGTAAATAGATTGTCTGGATTCGATGGATGGAACTTCACTTCCCACACTGTACAAATACACAATTACGTATATGTTAAACAATTGTCTTTACTCTTGCCATGGAATACCACAATTAACTCAGTTCTAGCATG